CGTCATCTTGTAGTGGTAGAGCACCCTGCTCCAACACAGCAGGGGCAAGAGGGCAGGCAGGGAGGGGGAGGGGAAAAGAAGGGAGAAAGGCACCTCAAGTAGCTAAGAAAGATCCCGCTGGTTTTTAAAATGGGACAGCTATACGGAGAGGTTGGCCACAGCCCCTGCAGCAGGCTGCCAGGGTCAGGTCCTCAGCTCATGTAAATCAGGAGAGTTCCACCAAAGTCTGATGAAGCAGCTGAAATCAGGGGAGCTTTGCTGATCTACTTTAGCTAGGGATCTGCCGCAGAGAGGAGAGGAAGAGAAAGCCCAGTAGCAGAGCATATTTGGTTTCAGTCTCACTGAAGGTACTGGTTGCTATTTCCCAGACATTCAGCTAGTATATAGATCCCTGCTCCTAATCAGAGCGATGGATTGTCCACATGCTGCTCTGGTTTCCCTCTCAATGTAGAGTCACTTTGTCTTACTGGGCCTGGTTTAAATGATACCAGCCATTCTTTTTCATTCACATTTCAATAACATTTTAGAATGAGGACCTGCTATTTGCCTTGAAGATGCAAAGCCTTTGATGACCAATAACATTAATACCCCTTTTCAGTTAGTCTCTCTCGTCACTCCCTCGCTTTCCTATCTGCTCAGCTCTCCTCCCCCACTGGTCCTCCAGCCCTGGTGCTGCTGTCAAATGCCACTGCTGTATGTGGAGCTGATTACAGGAAACATTAAATAGCAATTCAAGTGGAACAGATGGAAGTTCCCCCCAAAGGCCATTTGGGCTCTGAGAACACTTTTCCTGTGCGCATAAATCTTCAGACTTCTCCACCTGCCTGATCCCAGCATTCAAATCTAACCTGCAAGAAACTTGTGAGCAAGCAACATCATTGCTTCTGCAGCATGTCTGCCCCTCCTGTGCTCTCTGACACCAGCTTGAAATGTCTCAGTGAAGGGGGAAATATCCACTTTGATCTATTGCTCTAGAGACAGAATGAGTCTCTCCACTTATAGCCAGCATGGAAATGTCATATAGAAACAAAAGTTGTGTGTGAGGAAATGGTCACCGCAAGCAATCAGCAATGACTAAGGAGCGAGAAGTATTTGAGAAACTTTTGACTGACCCAAATTAGCTTCTTCAGGTGTTAAAGCTGTAATGAGCAACTCCAGCTGGAACTGGGACACTGGCTCAGTTCTCAGATGTCTAAAAAACTATTTAGGTGAGCATCACCCGTAGTTAAGGAGCCTGAAATATCTATTAAAATTAACCCCCTAAATGAGTGTTTAGTCTCCCCAGAACCAAAGCCCTGTTCCTCAATTGTACTGCCAATAGCTGGATACAAATGAATAAGGAACCAAGAGCCTGAGGAAGGTTCTGATACCCTCCCCTTCCCTGCTATTTTCCTTTGCCAATCCTTCCTCCTTCTTGCAAAGCAAAAGGAAAGGCATTTGCTAAAAACTAAAAATTTAAAACTAAAGCCTTTATTTCTTGGCTAGGAAACTCCAAAGCTGAGGGTCAAGGTAGAGTAAGCTTTCCACAGTGCATGGCAGAATGCTTGTTCTTTGGCATCAGATAGAGGTGCAAACTCTCCCAAGTAATGAATGAACTCAAGGAGAAAGTGCTGATGTTCGTAAGGGAGAAGAAGGCAGTGGGGAGAAATTCTTATGAATGCACAAAAACCTGCTCTCCCTACAAGTGGCGGCTCAAAAGTGCTCTGTCTGTGAGTTTATTCACAGGTACTTAGAGATGTTCTGAACAGCTCTACCCACGCTTTCCCTAGAGGCTCTGTCAGTCACTCTCAGTGGATCATGATTCTTGCAGAAGAAGGGATGAATTCTCAAAGCTTCAAGGATGAGCTGCTATACCAGCCAGGCCCTACTCAGACTTAAACATTCATTTCAGTTCCCTACCTTCCTCTCCCCTCTTTGTCTTCCTTATAACCAGTTAATTATCACTACTACTCTAGGAAACCAGCATGAGCGGTTTCTTTTTCCCAAAGCACTTGTCATCAGTGTGAGAACTGTCCTCGGTGCCCAACTGCCCACTGAAATCTGTCAAAAAGCAACATCAATTCTTTGGGGGTCATTTAGGGGTAGGAGGGGGAAATCTAATCCCCCTCCCTCCTCTTCTCCACCTGTTTAATTTTGGCCATGCATTCTTTAAAACCAGCTGCCTCTTTTTTTCTGGCCAAGAGAACTAACAAACTTGACACAGCTGCAGCTTTGGGCTATAAGCTTACTGTGCACAAGCCTTAATGGGATCAGTTGTTGGCAGAGGCCAGCAGTGCTAAGTAGCTTTGCTAGCAGAGGAGTACTTCTGGCAGCCTACAACACTGTATATATTCCAGGGAAACTTCACTTTTGCAGGAGCTGTGTGTGTATGTGAGTGGGATTTCTCAGAGGAGTTTGGGATCAATCACTTCAGCAACTTCCTCACATTCCCCTGCCCACTGCCCACCAGGGAAACAACCAATCCACATATCTATACACTGCATCCATAGGGACACTGAGAAAAGAAAAAGAACGGTTAAAAAACATGAAGACAGCGACGATGGATGAACGTGCTATACATTACCTTTAACAGTTCAGTGCAGTGCTTCAAGAATCTAAGTCCCATACACCTGGCAGAGAAGTTAGGGTGGTTTTTTTT